GGCCCGTCCCCCGCGCGTCTCCTCAGCTTCCGGCCCGGCCCACGCGCGTTTCCTCAGCTTCACGGCCAGTCCCACGCGCGTCTCCTCAGCTTCCGGCCAGTCCCCCGCGCGTTTCCTCAGCTTCGGGCCATCCCCGGCGCGTTTCCTCAGCTTTGGCCTCTCCCCGGCACGTTGCCCCAGCTTTGCCTTCTCCTTCAGTGACGTGAGCTCCAACCTGGGTGTGAGGGACCGACCTGGGCCCTGGGATGTTCACACCGGACCCCGTTGCTCTGGGGCTGGCTCCAGTGGAAGCTTCGCTCACTGTTCGTGCTGCTGTTTCTGGAGCTCTGAAAATCTGTGGGAACTGAAAGGCAATGACCAGCCTGGTGGCACGAAGTGTCTGAGAACAAATTCCAGGCACTGGGACGTGTAACCTGATTGTTAAACATCAATAAAGGCTCCTGGAGGACCGAGTAGCCGTGTCTCACCCCTTCTGTGTTTTGAATAATAAAAGCGTAAAATCTGGAGGAAACCTGGAGGTCACAGAGAGGTGGTGTCTGCTGGGTCAGTGCCAGAGCGGCCTCCTGGGAAGCCTGGGGAGGCTCAGGCCATGCTGTGGGAGGCAAGGCCAGGGCCAGAGCCTCGGGTTTGCTGTCACCTCCCACCACCACAGGGGTGTCGAATAAACGGGTGCAAGCCCGTGTGGACACTGCAGGTGAAAATCGCTCCCTCCCTGTCCCTGGCACGGTCAGTGCTCAGCACATAGGCACGCACGTCCGGGATGCAAGCCCAGGCCCTTTCTCCTTCCCCTGGCCCCAGCTGAGCTTCTGTGGTCATTTGCCTTCCCCTCGGGGGGATCCCTGGTTCAGGCCAAGAACTCTTCTGGCTGCTGACGCCCGAGGGCAGCCCTGGGCTCTGTGTGGTGGTGGGGGAGGCTGGGGGGTGTTGGGGGAGTGGGTCCCTCTGCTTCGTTTGATTTCTGATTCCATCTGCTTGACGTTCCCCGAAATGCCTCCATCCCCAGCCCACCCTGTCCCTGCCATTTTCAGCCTGGGCTGTAGTGTATTTGTTTTTGTCTTGTTCCCAGTCCTTCCCCAGCACGTGGGTCTTCCTTTCCTAAGTAATTATAAACAATCTCCATCTGTGCAACTGCAGGACTATCTGAGGCTCCCCCGGAGAGACTTGTGGGGCAGGAGCACCTGGCCGCGGTCGACTCTGCATACCCTGAAGTTACATCGTTTTGGCAACTTCCTTAAGAAAAGGCATATGACATTATGAACACAGTGTTAGGCCTAAAACTGAACATACTTACAGTGAAAGACCCAGCACACCATGAGTGTAGGAAGCTCACACAGGCAGCATCACAGACAGAATTGGAAGCTCACACAGAAAGCATCACACACAGAATCAGAGGCCCACACAGGAAGCATCACAGACAGAATCACACGGCACGTTTTTTACCCTAAAGTTCCTGACCTCACAGCCTCGGATTACTTTTACAAAATGACAATTTGGTAACGTTTTCTATGGGAGAATGGAAAATCAGCTTAATCTTCCCACTGAGGGGGCTGAGCCACGTTTTCTGTGGATAAGAGTTGCTCAGGTATGAACCTCCTGGGGCGTGTGTGGGCGACAGACACAGCCGCCGTCAAGCGATTCCCATAAGAAGTCAAAGCAAACCTCTATCCTGATTAGAAGCTTCTGAGAACTGAATTTTCCACACACACACCTCTACCTGTCTGACACCGTCCCCACACCCCAGCGTCTAGATCCGGAATCTTCAAACAGGACATATTGGAGACACCATCAGGCCCCCGCCTTCTTGTTGATGTCAGGTGGGTGAGCCCAGCATGGGGGCCGTCCCTATGCGGGTGAGCTGGGGTTTGCGGGCCGTCCCCACAGAGGTAAGCCAGGGCATGGGGGCCGTCCCCACGGAGGTGAGCCAGGGAGTGGGGGCCGTCCCCACGGAGGTGAGCCAGGGTGCGGGGGCCATTCCCCCGGGGGTGAGCCCAGCAACACTAGGGAAAAGCTTCCTCAACTCGCCTTCCCCACAGGTAGCTCCTGGCTGCTTGGCGCCCCTCCTCCCGCAGAGATACCGGAAGTGCACAGGGGCCGTGCCGAGTGGAGACAGGTCTTGACCCAGTACAGTGAAAAGATCTTATTTTCCCAGACTTCACAGAAACATTGACCGTGTGTTTGTCCGAGTCAGCTGAGGGCAGACGCCACACCAACATGGGGACGGGGGTGTCTAAGGTGAGGGGTTGCGCGCTGGTTCCAGGAGGAGCAAAGTGAGCCCAGGGTGGATGCAGAAGGGGTTCCCTGCCTGGCGCTCGGGAGATGGTGGGGCCACAGCCACTGGTTTGGAGAAGCTCTCTGGGTTGAGGCCAGGGGCCCATGGCGGGGCCAGCGGCACTGTACGCTAGAGGGAGGCACCTCTGGGTCCTCCCAGCCAGGGGAGTACCAGGAAGCCCCAGCTTCGTCCACCATGGCAGAGGGGCTGCCTGTGGGCAGTTCCAGAACCATCCATCAGTGTGAGGCTGTCAGCCCCAGGATACGGACGATCCCCCCACTCTGTTCAAACCCCTCGAATCCTGTTTCCTGTCATGTTGGGTCAACTTCACTATGAATTTGGAAGTCTAAGAAAATTACAAAACGAAACAACATCGTGAAAGAGAGCATCAGATGCCACCGTGCCTGAGTCGGCCTGTCCGTTCCTTCCGCACGGGCGCCCTCTCCCAGCCGCTGCCTGGCCGATGTGTGGCTGGAGTCCACCCCTGCTCCTTGGGGACACGGCCTTGCTGTGGACTGAGTGTGTCCTCACATTCATGGGTTCAAGCCCAGAGCCCCAGTGTGACGGGACTGGAGTGGGGTTCTGGGAGGTGACTGAGGTTTTGATGAGGCCGTGAGGGGCCTCGTGAGAAGGGAATTCACGCCCTTGTAATAAGAGGCTCCAGGTGACCGCGGTGGTAAACAGTCACACACTGTGAGAAAAAAGAGACGACAGAGCTGAGCGTGCCAGCTCCCCCTGCCCTACCCACCCGCCGGGGCAGGACGCCCTGGGAAGGCAGCTGCCTGCAACCCAGAGGGGGCCCTCGTGGAGCTCGTCCTGCTGGCACTCAGATCTCAATGTCATTGTTTTAGCTGCTGGGTCTCTGGGGTTCCGCAGGGCAGTCCAAGAAGGCTGAGACAATACTTATAGCGAAATCCTGAGAAACCCTTGCTTTCCACCCTAGTAGAACAAACCAGATACGCTGCAAAATGATCGTTGTTATTTTGACCACTCATCCTCAAGTTCTAACAAAATGATAATTTTTAAAAGAACAGAATAGGTAAATGTAACACATCAAACTTGAAAGCATCTGGAAGAAGTGTAGGTCCCAGCACTTCAGGAGGCTGAGGTGGGAGGACTGCTTGAGCCCAGGGGTTTGAGACCAGCCTTGGCAACATACCGAGATTCTATCTCTACCAAAAATACCAAACTTAGCTGGGTGTGGTGGTGCGCACCTGTGGTCCCAGCTACTAGGGAGGCTGAGGCAGGAGGATCACTTGAGCCCAGGAGGTCGAGGCTGCAGTGAGCTATGATTGTACCACTGCCCTCCAGCCAGCCTGGCAACAGAGCAAGGCCCTTCGAGAAGAAAAAAAAAAGAAAGAAAGAAAAGAAAAGAAAGGGCCAGGCACAGTGGCTCACACCTGTAATCCCAACACTTTGGGAGGCCAAGGTGGATGGATCATGAGGTCAGGAGATTGAGACCATCCTGGCCAACAGGGTGAAACTTCGTCTCTACTAAAAATACAAAAACAAAATTAGCTGGGTGCGGTGGCGGGCGCCTGTAGTCCCAGCTACTCAGGAGGTTGAGGCAGGAGAGTGGCGTGAACCCGGGAGGCGGAACTTGCAGTGAGCCGAGATGGTGCCACTGCACTCCAGCCTGGGCGGCAGTGCCAGACTCCGTCTCAAAAAAAAACAAAAACAAAAACAAAAAAAACAAAAAAAGAAATACAGATGTGAAGAAACACAGGTAACATTCCTAAGAGCACAAGGCACACACGACACCCGGGCTGAGCCTCCAGGGCTCTGGGAGATGGGGCCGGGCAGAGAGCGCCTGGTGCATGGGGGCCCCGGAGGGCAGGGGCTGCGGGTGGGGACAGTCACACGTGGGAAGCCACCGGCCTCGCCCCAGGGCGTCACGCTCAGGGGAAGGCCCAGCTGCAATGATGTAATTGATGCATGCAGGGAAAGTTTCAGGAGAAAGAGGTTTCACATGGGTTCAAGCGTCTTCCCCTCAATGCTCAATTACAAAGTCGGGGGCAGGTGGCCAAGTGCAGGTCAGGACCAACGCCTGATGGGACAAACTGGCATTGGGTGCTGCCAGCGGCTTCGAGGATCCCCAGCAGTTCTGTGTATTTTCCAGTCCAATGCCCACGCTCCGGAGAAACCCAGTGAGGGCATCCCCCAATCGCTGTCCAGAACCTTCCGCACACCAAGGTTGTGAGAGTCCCTGAGAGGCAGGGGGCTCTCCCAGGAGGAAGGAGCATGAACGCTGAGGCCCTGCACCAGGCAGGGAGCCGTGCTGCTCGCTGATCCTGGGGGCTGCGGTGTGGACTGGGACAGACAGCCCGCCTGCCGGAACAGACAGAGGGTGCCGAGAGGGACGGCAGAGGGTTGCCAGCTCACTCTGAGGTCAGGAAAGAGTTATTTGAATGGCACTTGCAACTTTTCAAGCTGGAAATGTTTAAAATAACAAATACCAGTTACAGATAAGCACCGTTTCTGAACCCACAGTTCCACATTGGAGAATCAAATCCCACAAAAATGTTTGTCCCAGAAAGTGCAGTCTGATAGACAAGACTTAATCCACAAACCAGACACAGTGCCAGGAGCTGGCATCACGGAGCACCCGTGGCTCTTCCTGGAGCATGAGGAGTCCAGCTCCCCAGGACGGTTCGAGAGCACAGGTGGCATCCCCAGAGGGAGCAGCTGCCTTTCCTGATCACCCGTGTATTCTTTTGCTTGTAACAAGGAGCATGAGTCAATCCTGTAATTTCTTTTTCTAAAATCTAGGCTGGCGTGGTGGCTCACAACTGTAATCCCAGGACTTTGGGAGGCCAGGGTGGGTGGATCACCTGAGGTCAGAAGTTTGAGACCAGCCTGGGCAACATGGCAAAACCCTGTCTCTATTAAAAAAATACAAAATTAGGCCGGGTGCGGTGGCTCATGCCTGTAATCCCAGCACTTAGGGAGGTCCAGGTGGGCAGATCACGAGGTCAGGAGATCGAGACCAGCCTGGCCAACATGGCAAAACCCCGTCTCTAATAAAATACAAAAAAGTAGCCGGGTGTGGTGGCAGGAGCCTGTAATCTCAGCTACTTAGGAGCCCCAGGCAGGAGAATCGCTTGAATGTGAGAGGCGGAGGTTGCAGTGAGCTGAGATCGTGCCCCTGCACTCCAGCCTGGGTGACAGAGCGAGATTCTGTCTC